AAAAAAAAAAAAAAAAAACAATGAGCGCATTTTAGCAACTAGCACGTCACAATTTCCGTCCTCGGCTATTCTAACCACAAAGATGCACACATTTTTTTTTTATCGCACTCCCCTCTCCCAACCAACAGAACAAGACGTGATATTCCTCAATTGTTACCATTAAAGTAATTTCTACTGCTCAATCTAATTGTTCGAGGTAAGATTTGTAACGGTTTCTTGATTATTTGGGAATTTAGGGTTTGTGAGATGAGCAAAGATTTGATCTGTAACAGTTTATGGCAGTGTCTATTTATTGATTCTTTATTAGGGCAGCTGCTCTTAGATATTGCGAGTTTGTTTTCATGCTTTGATCTTTATAATGTTGATATTAGGGCAACTTACTCATTAGAAAAGCAATCAAATTATGCCACTAATTTGAAGCTTTGCCCCAGCTAAACTGTGTGATCTGAGTCTTTCCCCCTTTTTTCCTTTTGTTTTCTGTGTTTAGGTTTTTCTGTAGAAATCTAGCATCCTATGGTGGATTAACACCGGATTTACGGTTAGATATTTATCGTAAAATCCTGTTCTCGAGGGATCTTTGAAGTTAAAACAAGAAAGTAGTAAATTTGTCTGCATCCTTGCCCTTGTCTTTAGCGTGATGGATGATGAGGATGAGGTCGCTCATCGACCCTATTCATATGCGGTAAATCGCCAACATCATGATGCCAAAAATGGCAATTACCCCCAGAGTAGCGATGATGATAGTGATGAAGACGATGATAATAATGATGATGATGATGATGATAAAGGTCTCCATAACGAACAAGATGATGACGATGACGATGATGATGATGACGACGACGATGATGGGAATGGAGTTCAGAGGATAAAAAACGACGATTATGAATATAAAGACAATTATAGCGACTCACAGAAGCACCCAAAGAAGAAGAAGCTGAAAGCCCTAATCCCGAGCTACGAGTTTGCTCCGCGTGTACCCCCGGCTACCACGGCTGTACCTTCGAACCCTAAGCCGTCTTACGGTGGGCGTAACCCGCTCACTGACTGGACCGAGCACGAGACCCTTGTCCTACTGGACGCGTGGGGTGAGCGATTCCTCAAGCAGGGTCGCAAAAGTCTTAGATCTGAAGAGTGGCAAGAGGTCGCTGAGAAAGTGTCCCAAGAGTCGAGGATCGAGCGTACGGACACCCAATGCAGGAACCGTTTGGACACCCTGAAAAAGAAGTACAAAAAGGAAAAAGCGAAAATGAGCCTTAATGATATGGGTTTTGCGAGTGACTGGATTTATTTCAAGAAAATGGATGCGTTACTTTCGCCCCCGCCGGGTCGGCCCGTGCTTTCTTGCGGGGTTGACTCGGGAGATTATGCAGGCCGGTCGAATGGATTGGGCGAGGCGAGGGATAGTCCTCAGAATTCAGGCTCGGGCAGAAGTGAAAAGGACGAGAAACTGAGCCTTCGTCCCAAGAGGAGTAATAATGGAAAAGACAAATCTTTCAAGCTGCTGGCCGACTCCTTCCGGAAGTTCAGTGATATCTACGAGAAGATTGAGCGTGGCAAGAGGCAGCAGATGGCGGAGCTCGAGAGGATGCGGATGGATTTCCATCGGGATTTGGAGCTGCAGAAGAGGGAGATTCTTGAACGGGCTCAGGCTGAGATTGCTCGGATCAGACAGGGGGTAGATGACGACGATGATGACGACGATGATGACGATCGTGTTGTGTCGGGCTGAGAATAAACGTTGATGATGGTAAAAAACTAATGTTGATCTTTTTACGTGGCTTGTGTTTTTAGTGATGGTTTAGCCTCTTTTCAGGGGATGATTTTCATAGTACTTTGCAGGTGTGTTTATGCCAAGTGTGACTTGCTTGGGTTATTGACCTGCAAAGACAATAATAAATATGTAGGTTTTCGTGTAATGGACAAGTAAAGATGTTGGGAGTGTGTGGAGTTTGCCTTGATTCAGCCAAGCCATGGGTTGTCTATTGTGAGGTATACTTTGCAAGAGCTGCTTTTGAGGTTTAGTACAAAAGGAGAACTGTTATGATCTTTCAAACTACAGAGACTCCATTAATAAAGTATTTCCGTAATTCTCAACATTTGGATCTGTATAATCCCTTCCTATATATTAATTCAGAACGTGTTGAGCCTAGGTGGCAGATTTTTCCGCTTCAGATGTTGGCATGACGAAAATCTATGGTTCGTAATGTTGTTTTTATATTATTTTTGCTCTGAAGTTAGGTTTGGTATTAGACATAAATAACTTTACACATATATTCAATAACACAACACTTTCAATACATACATGGTTTATTTATTAATATTAGTACCTCTTACACATGAACGACTTTAAAAAGATTGTTCAGAGTTCCAACTCCTTAGAGCTCACTTAAGTTTGAATTGGTTGGAGCTCATTTGAAACTTTCTTTCTAGATGTCTTATCAATAATGGTGGTGGTTGTGGATCAAGATTGAAGATCGTATTTATATATTTTTATTTTCCTATATGTTATTTGATTTAGGTTTTTCATGACCCACATTCCCCTGTACATAATTTTTAAATCTGGTGAGTCTAAGTAGTATTCTGGCCCGCTTCGAGATTCTATATGATGAATTTTCATGTTTTGTTATTTGGTGTAGATATATTTTAATTTACTTCACTTCAAAAATATAAAATTTGGAATAGACAAAAATATAATGGATATTTATGATTGTCGCCTTTCGGAACATTAATTAGATTTTGATATTAGTTTCTACTAGTACGAATCCGTGATGCACGGATAAGAGATATTCATTAATATTATAAATTAAAATTTTTCATTAAATAATATTTATATATTAAAAGTATAGAATCAATATATAATACAATTATTTATATTAACTTATTGAAAATGTTATATAAAATTTAAATTGTTTAAAAATACATAAAACATGTCTATTTAAAATTCGTATCCAACACGTACGGTGCACGTAACTGGTAATAAATTATAGAGGAAATAGTTATTTTCACCCCGTTCTGAAGTCACACTAAGTTTTTCACGCCACCCAATAAAAAGCTAAGTTTTTCACCCCAAAAAGTACGAAGACATATGCGATGAAACATGCGCTAAATAGGCGACAGGTATGAGCATGGGCGAGAAAATTA